GATGCATTATGTAAAGGTACAATTCCCAATGAGAAATGTAATTGTGTTGTATACCTAAAATGTACCAATAAAAGAATTTAACAAAAAAAAGAAAGAAAAATATGTCTCTCCCCTACCTCCGAACATTTCTTACGTATCAGTTTTTCCAGAATTTTCACGTGCAAATACAATTTTATGTGTCTTTTGCACAAATGAGAGAATACTATATGCATACTTTTACATATTTAGCTTTTCTTTTTTGATCTTGAAGATAAACTCTGCAGCTCTACAGCTTTCTTAGCCTTTTGAAAACATTTTAAACTTCAGTTGTGTTTCTTAGAACTAGAGACAAATGCAGTTTAAATTGACCTCAGGACACAGCTTTATATAGCTGAGGCCTTTCTAGCTGAGGAAGGAGCTCTCCAGTGCTTGTTCAGAGGCAGGCCCCAGATTGGTACTGCTCCCAGCGTACCCTTTCCCCAGCATTGTACTCTAATAAATATCTCCAGGCACATCACACTGGTTACTAACAGCCATAAGAAAGATGTTACCCTCAGTTCCCTTGCTCTGCCATGCATAGTTGTCGCCATGTACTAGTCAAAAGTTATTTTCTAACATTTTTCCAAAATGATTTATTTAATCTAATTCTTCAAAACAAACTATTTCATATGCATGCCTTATAACAATGTCTAGTTTAAGCTATCATTTGTGGAGGAAATACACAAAGGCACTATGAATTTCATTAGGTGCAAGAGCAGCCTTTTCTTACATGTTGGAACATTTCAGATGAAATAAATATTGGTTATGTCCCAAATAAATAACCCTTCTGCCTCAACAGAGCCCACTCTAGAGTTTATTCACTAAATTGGCTAGCAAAGGAAAAGAAAAGAAAATCAAGGCCCATTAGTACATGAATTTTGTTACTTCTCTCCCTTAGTTTTTTGTTGTAAAACACTCAATCCCAAGATTTATCTTCTGACCTCTTCTACTATTTCCTTTCCATGTTGGATAAATAAATGCAGCAGAGGCACATTTTGCTGATTTTTCCCTAGGTTTTCTATGTTAAGTTATAGCTATATAAAGCTGTATTGAATATAAATTGTAATCAAAAGCTCATTTTTAAACTTTTAATGCAGTCTTTGAGGATGGATTCCTAGGAGTTAGTGGAAGTTCCACTGGAGTCTTGTAGAGCAAAATGAAAAGATTCTAGGAGGCCCTAGAAGAAGCAAGTATGATATAGAATACCTGCTTTTAAAAAAGAATTTTTGATAAATATAAGAAAGATATAAAAGTGCAACATGAGCCTCTTGCAAATTTGTCCTTGACACTTGCTGTCTTATCAATCTCTCTCTCTCCATCTTTCTCTCCCCTCCCTCCCACCTCTATCTGGGCCAATCTGAATAAATCCAACAATATTTACTGACACCTGTTCTGTACCAGACATTGTTCTGGTTGCTTGGGTTATCATTAGTAAATAAAGTATACAAAAATATGTGCCCTCCTGGAATTACTTCCAAAAGAGGAAGAGAACAATCCACAATCCATACAAAAATTAAAATCTATAGTATAATAGAAGTGGCTAGTGCTATGAAGGAAAGGGGCTTTGTGGATAAGAGAGGATTGCAATTTTAAATATGGTAAAGCAGTCAGGGTGGGCCTTGGAAAGGAGGCAGCACTTGAGCAAGGACTTGAAGGAAGAAAGGTAGTTGGGTATATTATGATTCCAGGGAAGGGTGTTCCAGGCAGAGGAAACAGGCAGTGCAAAGGTCTACAGATACAGCTTTCATTACATGTTCAAGGTCAGCTAAGATAGCTGTGGATTGAGCAAGGGAAAGAAGAGTAGTAGCCAATGAGGTTGGAGAACCAAGAACCTTGCACTCCACTGATTTTACCAAGATGCCACCAACTAAAGTGAAAAAGGAAATAGAGCCCCAACACTTCCCTTTTCTGACAGCCAGAGGGTATGTGATCTAACTGACAGCTGTTAGGCACCTCCCCTTTACTAGCTACCCTGAGGGTGCCTGCCATCTTCCTGCCAGCCACCTCTGCTGTTGTTTTGGCAGCTGTCTTCTAGGCCTTGCTGGCTCCACTGCCCCTGACAGGATCTGCACTCAGCTGACATCCACAACTCCTCCCCTGTTCCAGACACTCCACATGCTGCTGGTTCCTCTCTGAGTCGTGGCCAGAAATTTGCACCAGACAGGACAAAGATCAGGGAGGAACAGGAACTCATCACTGCTGCTACCCACAAAATCCCCAAGCCCCAGTGAGCCATGATCACGGCCACTTCTGGACACTTCCAAAGTAATCACAATTTCAGCCCTATCATTTTCATAGAAATGAGGGAACTGTCACTCAAGCAGCCACTTCTCTCAAAGTTCAGTGAACTCTTGCCATGACAGCTGAAGCTATCCTAGATGTCCAGTGGCCATTTCAGAAGATACTTGCCTTGGCCATAGCAGGCTTCAGACATGGATATATCCCAGATGTCTGCCCTGCAGTCACTCGAGATGATTAGCCTCCAGATGACCCTACCCCTTCTGCCACTACTTTCCAAGCCCCCAAATAGATCTTCAAAATGCAGGAAATTGTGGATGTATGGGATATTCCTCCTCTATATAAGCAGTGCTCTCTCATGTTTGTTATGTCAATCAGGAAGGCTCCCTCTTGTGCACTAACCTCTTATATGGCACAAGTCCCAGGAAAAGCCTGGCTCAGGTGATCCTACTCGTGATCCTATTGCCTACTCAAGATTCTTATATTGGGCACAATGGGTTGAGCATATTGTACTAAAAGGAGGTGGTAACTGGCTATTGGCCCTGAAGAGCTCCAGAGAGGGGCATAGACCTGGTGACCAGTGGAAGAGACCCAGAGAGGCAGTAGAAACTGTTGGAAGAGCTCTAGCTGCCTGAGGAAATATAAGCCCTAGATGGAGAAGAGCTGATACTGGCAATTGGCAGCTGGCAGAAGCTGTAACACTAAAAGCTAAGAGGCCTAAGTACTCAAAGCTCAGAGTTATAACACTAAGGGACAAGAGCCACTGACACTCAAAGTCCAGAGCTACTAACATTGAGAGAACTGCATGTTGATTTCTTTTTTTAAATTTAATTTAATTTAAATTTTTTTTTGTTAAATTCTTTTATTGGTACATTTTAGGTAGACAACACAATTACA